GCAGCTGCCAGGCGCAGTGCGCAGGCGCGGGGCGGCGCCGTCATGGCGGACGAGGCGGCCGTGCGGGAGCAGGCGGACGCGGTGCGGCGGCTCAAGCAGGAGAAGGCCGAGCCTGACGAGGTGCGGCCCCGAGGGGAACGGGCGGCTCGGGAGGCGGTGGGGAGCGGGGTGATGGGGTACGGGGACTGGGGGCGCTGGAGTGAGGTGCTGGTGGGGACTGGGGACACTGCGGTGCGAGGGTGGAGGCGCCTGGGACGCTCGGCCGAGGGGCGTTGGGGCCTGGGTGACAGGGCGAGGTGGCGGGGAGCCGCTCTCGTGGCGCTGGAGAGGCTGCAGGTCCGGGAGCACGGGGCCTGTGCTGGCCGTGGGGACTCGGGTGGCGGTGGGAGCTGGGCTGGGGGAGGCCGAGGGCTTCGGGCCCCTCTGGCAGCTTCATCCTCCCCGTCCCTCCCTGTTCCCGGTGCAGATCGCCAAGGAGGTAGCCAAGCTGCTGGAGATGAAGGCGCAGCTGGGAGATGAGGGGAAGGCCAAGTTCGTGCTCAAGACCCCGAAGGTGACATCTCCACACGCGTGCGCTCCTTGCACAGCCCCTCCTCACGAGCAGCCCCTCACTCGCGTGTGCACAATCTCAGCCTGGCTTTGCTGCTTCTCGTGGCTAGGTGGGAGAACTGGGCTGATGAGGGAGATGGAACTAGCCCTCAGCATGCAATCCAGATATTCCTACTGAAACATCAAGGTTTTGGGTGTTGCAGCAACAAGCCAACCACAGGCTCATGCAGCTGTGGAAATTCAGCCCGGTTATCCCATAGCTGCAGGTCTTGTGTCTGCCTGGCTCTCGAGCAGGGGGATTGAACTAAGTTATCTCTAGAGGTCCCTTCTAACCTCAATCATTCCATAATTCTGTGACACAGTATTTTTTCCCTGTTTGAAGTATGGCTTGTGATAGCCCTGGTGAGCCAGTGTGGATGGGAGGGAAGGTGTCTCCCTTCTCCCGGCTCCTGGTCTTGCATCATTCAGTGTGAGCGGAGCCACGCTGTTTCCAGAGCCTGGTCTGCTGCCGCTATCACTGTCCTCTAGCCATTCCCTCGTGCACAGCCGTCCCTCTTTAGGCCCTAGAGAAGAGTGTCTGTAGCACAGCTTATATTGAAGGGTTTTGTAGCCCAGATGTTTTCTTCACTAGCAGCTGAGCAAACTGCTCTGCTACGCTGTGGCCTGTAAACAACTTGAGTGTTCACCGATAAACCAGCTTAGGTCAACATCACTGAGTTGGAGAAACCCTTAAGAACTTTCTCTCCTGATTACTCCATTTCCTCTCTCATATACTTTGGTTAATGTAACTGTGATCAGAAACCTGGAAAGAGGATGAGTATCTCACTGGTTAAAGGTTTGGAGAGGGGATTCTCAGCTCCGTGCATTCCAGGGGAAACACAGCTGGGGTCTCTGTCCTGTCTCAGCCATGACTACTGAAAACCACCGTATGACCTGCAAGGAATGTGTTCCTGAGTGCACCGTGCCTCACCTCTCTGCTTTCTCCCATCTCACTTGTTAAATAGCAACCAATTGTTTCTAAAAGCCTAAGGGGGATGATCAATAGGAGCTGCTGATTCTTGACAGTGATGAAATTAGAAGGGAGCCCATTCCAGCTGAACAACAAATGGGCAGTTTGCACCCTTTGAAATCGACTCCTCTCTCTGTGAGTTCCTTGGAAAGTATAAGGCTACTGCTTGCTTAACAGTTCGTCTGCCGTTTAAGCCCTACAGTTAATGTGGGTTATTGTATGGATCTGGTTGGTGCATCCAAATCAAAGTAGTGGATACATCCTTACTGTAGCCTCTGCCTTAGGAGCACGGAGTCCCCTGGGTCCTAGGTCCTCGTTAGCTCCTTTGCCTCCTGCTTTTGAACCACCTGCCTCATGTTTAGCCCTGCTGACAGTGACACATCGCGTACGAGCTGAGTCCTGTATTCTCAGTGCTGCTTTTTAACAGCTGTCCTGACACCTGGGCTCTGGACATGGCCATGGTAGGTCCTGCACCTCACTCCTCTGCTGCCACGTGACTCGTCCTCAACGCAGAGAATTGCCAGGGATGTTCTGCCCGTAGCCTGAGGGGCTCTTTGCTCTTCTTTTCTTCGTCTTCCCAGGGCACACGGGACTACAGCCCCAAGCAAATGGCCATTCGGGAGAGAGTCTTCAGCACCATCGTGACCTGCTTCAAGCGCCACGGCGCAGAGGTTATCGACACACCAGTGTTTGAGCTGAAGGTGAGCAAGGGCACAGCAAGCTGTCTGAGCCCTTTCAGATGCTGCAGTTGAAAGCTTGGGGGGCACTTACAAGGTGGGAAGTTGACTAATGCTGATCGTAAGGAATCTGTGATCTCAGGAAGCAGTGGATCCAGTAGTAAACTGGAGGACCAGGGAGCATTTTCTCCCACTGCTTGGGCTGTCCCTTCTTTCTAATCTTGTTCTTTCTGTACATCGGGCCTAGATTAGCTTTTAGGTAGCTCGGAGAAGTGGATTGTCCAACCATGGTGATATTTGTAAGCCGCGTAGACTCAGTCCTGAGCAACCTGCTCTAGGTGATACTGCCTAAGCAGAGGGTGTTACTAAATGATCTCCAGACGTCCCACCCTGACCTGCCCTGGCACTAAATAAATATGTTGATGCGTGCTTGTTTTGTAGGAAACATTGACAGGGAAGTACGGAGAAGACTCCAAACTCATCTATGATCTGAAAGATCAGGGAGGAGAGCTGCTATCCCTGCGCTACGACCTGACTGTATCCTGCCACAGCCCCATTCCTGCAGTGCTGAGGAGCCTGGTTGTCTTTGGTGTCGCTTTTGGGACAGCCATGTTCAGGGGGCAAGGGAGGAGGAGGAGGGAGGACGCTCTTGGTTCTGACCCTTGTCGTGGCACGGAGAGCATGAGTAGATGGGGTTGTTCTGCACTGTGGGTGATTACTGGGTGGGTTGATTCCTCTCCACCTCTCTCCTTAACCCCTCGTCATCAGGTGCCCTTCGCTCGCTACTTGGCGATGAACAAGATCTCCACCATGAAGCGCTACCACATCGCCAAGGTCTACAGGAGGGACAGCCCGGCCACGAGCCGTGGCCGCTACAGGGAGTTCTACCAGTGTGTGAGTTGGCAGGGCCGTTCCTGAGGAGGGCCCGGCAGTGGCTGTGGGGACATAGCCCCAAAGTCTGCTGTCCTCGGCTCAGTCAGGTCCCCATGGCCGTGAGATGCTCAGAGAGACTGAAAACAGCCACAGCACAGGGCACTAAGTGCCCAGTGCCCCAGGGAGCAGGCTGTGCCTCACGCCATAGAGGAGGGCAGCTCCTTACTGCATCCCACAGTGTCTACCAGCCTGGCCAAGGGGAAGAGTTTCCTCCCGTGATGCCAGATCTGTCACCAATTTAACATCAGGGTGTGTGAGCAGGACACGTGGATCAGGCAGGTGAGCCCAGCACTTAGTGCTTCCGTCCTGTGCTTACTCCATCCTCCCTTTCAAAGGAAGATGCAGAAAGACCCCGATGCCTCATTACGGAACAGGTTAGAAAGCAGTTCCCTTTGTGGAGTGTCGAGGAGTGGGTTTGTTGCACTGCATTAACACAGTCCTCATTTCGCAAACTAATTCTTAATTGAGCAAATTGCAATTTCTTCATACAGTCTCTAGTGATATCTCTGAACTCCCAGTGCCACTAAATTTCCATTTCCAGAATACGTGGAATTTGCCTGCTGTCTCATTTGAAAGATCATTCCAAGATGGTATTCCTAGGCTAATTAGAAATGGTCTTTGAATATCTAAGCTGAAATTACATCTTATTTTCTGTTGTACCAGCGCAGTTATTAAAACAGTAGCTCTAATCCCTTTCCATCTCTCTCCTTCCCAAGTATTCCTTTAGAGAAGCCTTCCCTAAACTGGGTAAATAAGACATGACATCCCCTTGCTCTCATGATCTGCTTTGTATCTCTGCCCAGCCTAGCTGCTTTTTCTATATCATTCCTTAAACACCATTGACCAGCCCTTGGCTTTTCCTTTTTCCCCAGGGAACTGGTGCCGCTGCAGCCACAGAAGTGGTGCCAGAGTCTTCACTGCCTTTTCTTGTCCCCAGGATTTTGACATCGCTGGCCAGTTTGATCCTATGATTCCTGATGCTGAGTGCCTGAAAATAGTGCACGAGATCCTCAGTGAGCTGCAGCTTGGAGACTTTCTTATTAAGGTGAGAGCAGAGGCAGGGCCCCAGGCAGGACACTCTGCTGCAGTAGAAACCAGTGGTGATTGTCCAGAAGTGCCTGTTGCTTCTCTGCCTCTCTCTGCTCTTTTGCTGTCTCTGTTTTCAGGTTGAGGAACAACGTGGCTGTTGTGTAAACTGCCTGCAGTAAAACACAGGCTCTAAATCAAGATCTTTGCCCTTCTGATATGCCCTTATTAGGGACAATTATTCCACGTATAGATTTGTGCCTTCCCACCCGATCTTGTGTGCGACTGAGACCTCTTTCAGAAGATGTACAGAGGTGTTTTGCTTGGTGGCACCAGCAGATCCGTTTGAAGGCAGGCAGGCAACGGGGAATGGCAGAATAAGCTGCCTGTGGTGGGAAGAGCTCCACTTCTTCCAAGAGTGACCATCTGGTTCCTGTTGATGCAGAAGTGTTTATAACCTTTGAACAGTCTGCGTCTGTCCGATTTAAGCATCTGCTCTCGCTGGCTGTAGAAACATTGAATCCAGCTAAGCCTTTGCCCTCAGTTACCTCCTTTTGCAGAGCATAATTAAACTGTGTTAAACTGTGTAAAATTAGAATTTACTGTGCTATCAAAGAAAAAAATCTTTCAGCAGATATTAACTTTCTCCTCATTCCAAGAGAGCAGGGTAATGTGTTCAGTTCATCTCAGTTCATGGTCTATTCCTGAGCAGTTTTTAAATCTGCACTGGACACTACTGGTATGAGCCCCTGTATAATGGGCCTTGCAGGTCCCACCAGTTTTCTTCAGCTTTTTCTCTGTTGAGTGAAGGTGCCTGTGGCTCTAGGAAGAGAAGCTGATGACTCTACCCAGGCTTGGTAGGAATCGGCTGCCCTGGTTGACCTGGTGTGGGGAGAGGGGCAGTTTTGCTCCCCAGAAATTGAGGAAAAGACTGAAGTTCCCTAAGAGTTAGAAGCAGCAAAACCAGCTTCTGCTCCGTGTTGCCTGTGTTGTTTCTTTCCCACAATTCCTAAACCTTTCTATTCCATACCCAAAAGGAAAGGAGGAGGGAAACTGGACTCAGTTGAAGCATGTGTTTGAATTCGTAGTAAACGACCTGCTCTCTGTCCCTCAGGTCAATGACCGCCGCATCCTGGATGGGATGTTTGCAGTTTGTGGTGTCCCAGACAGCAAGTTCCGGACGATCTGCTCCAGCGTGGACAAACTGGATAAGGTATTGGCTGGAGCTCTGGGCTGTGGCAGTTGTTGCTGGGCATCTTTGGTCTCTGGCCATGGGAATCGGCTGGAAAATGCCAGTAATTGAGTTGTTCCTGTTCTTTCCTTGCTTTTCCCTCATGAATATGGAGGGGGCCCACTGCAGTCACATAGTATGACTGGATTCTGTGCTTTCTCCTCCAGCATCCCACGTGGAGCTAGCAAATGGGGATGAGGGAGGCAGGGAAAGATGCATTAAGCTGCCACTGCTGATGTACCTAGAACTTGGGATCCCACCTTCCAAAACGAGCCACAACATCGAGAAGCCTTTTCTAATGTGGTGGTTTGGGGATGGTGGGTTAAAAAAATTGCATTTATGCTCTGGAATTGTTGCTGAAACTTCAGGACTCAGCAGAGAAGAGGTGCTGATGCGTTGGCAAACTGCTGTGGTAGTCTGGAAGTAGAGAGCTGCAGCTGCACCTAAGGGCAGTTAACCCTGCAGGGGACAGGGCCGACTGAAACCGTTGCGTTGACTGCTGGAACGGTTGTGTTGTCCAGCAAATCGGGCTGTGTTGGACAACAGCCAACAAATGGAGCAAGTGCTGTTCCTGCTTGGCAGTGTCTCATTCAGCAGCGTGGATGGCTCCATCCTTGATGATCCCAGCAGCTTGGGTGGAAGCAACTCGAGCTTCCCAGGCAGGGAAGGTGGAACTGAAGCAATGGGCCTAATTCCTTCTTGGGTTTCATCACTCATTATTGGTGTTTCTAGGCGCCTGAGTCCATCCTCCCCCCAAAATACAGGGACTTTATCTGCTCCCAACATAATTTGTCCTGTTTCTAGACCCAGCACTTGTTCTGCTTCCGCCATTCCATGTGTCCTGCCCTGGGTTACAGATATTACACCGTGCCTGAGCTTGCCTTCACCTCCGCTATGCAACTGCCACTAGTTTGTTGCCTGCTTTGTGGTTACGTGTTTATTATATATTTTTTCTGAGTTCTGTAACAGAAAGTTTTTACAATGTTGCTGCCCATGTGATTAGTAGTGTCACAGTGTTACAGAATGCTCCTACAGTGTCAGCTATTATGTCATGTTTCTGTGGAGGTTTGAAGGACATACATTAATAATGTGCTCCAAAGAAAAATTCACGGATGCCTCAGAGGCCTCAGCATCGGCTATGCTTTATTTTCTGCTTCTCTCATGCAGTCTTGGAGGGCAGGCGAGCTGGTCGCTATGCAGGAGGGGGGACTGGGGGCTGCCAGAGTGTCCCCATGGAGGAGGGTGGATCCCTGATGTTCTTGTCTCCCCCACAGATGCCGTGGGAGGACGTGAGGAGCGAGATGGTGGGGGAGAAGGGGCTCTCTCCTGAGGCTGCGGATCGCATTGGGGAATACGTGCGGCTCCATGGTGAGCACTCGGGGCTGGATCCCTTCTCCCGCAAAGCCGCCCCGCAGCCTGCTCCGTCACTGTCGCTGTCTGTGCCGGCCTCTGTCCCTGAGCAGCCCAGGAGGGGAGGGAGGCTGCGAAGGAGCCCGTGGGGCTGGCGGGGCCTTCAGCAGAGCCCGCGTGTGCCCTGTGCCCGCAGGTGGCCTGGACCTCATCGAGCAGCTCCTGCAGGACCCAACGCTGTCTCAGAACAAGCTGGCCAAGGAGGGGCTGGGGGACATGAAGCTGCTCTTCGAGTACCTGACGCTGTTTGGCATCACGAGGCAGGTGAGGCTGGAGGCAGGAGGGAGCCCTGGGCTCTCCGGCTGCAGCCGCTGATGAGATTCTGTGTCCTGCAGATCTGCTTTGACCTGAGCCTGGCGCGCGGCCTGGACTATTACACAGGGGTGATCTTTGAGGCCGTGCTGGTGCAGCAGGAGAATGAGCACGTGGAGGAGCCGGTCAGCGTTGGGAGCGTGGCTGGAGGTGGCCGCTATGATGGCTTGGTGGGGATGTTTGATCCCAAGGGACGGAAAGTGCCCTGTGTGGGAGTCAGCATTGGGATCGAGCGCATCTTCTCCATCATGGAGCAGAAGGTGGAGGTAAGTGCCTTTGTGCTTGACATGGAGGGGCAGAAGGGGATGGTGCACGCTGCTCTCCTGCCTCTGTTGTGTTCCGGGAGATGCTGGATTGTCTTAACTTGCTGCAATTCATGGCAGAGGAGTCAGGCTCCACTCTGCTCTGCAGTGAGAGTCAGAGCCTCCTCACAGTCTCCTCTTTCCTCTTACCTGGGCAATAGTCTCCAAGCGTCTTGCCAGAGATATGGTCCCTCTTCCAGCCCCACTGGAGGTGGGAGCCTGGCATGCTCAGCTGCACATGGAGGGGAATGCTAATTCTCAGCAGTGCCGGGTACCCAGATCAGATGCATTAGTGTTCCTTGCATCTTGGCCAGTCAGCCCTTGCATTTGTCACTGCAAAGGTGACAGCAGCCCTGCATGTGTACCCATCACGTACAAAGTATTGTGGATACCAAAAAGGGCTTAGATCTCCCAGATGGGAGAGCATAGTGTGTCTGGGGCATCCTAGGCTCTTGTTTCCGTTCCCTTTTCCTCAGAGTTTCTCTGCTCATTCCTTGGTCCTGTTCAATGAGTATTAACTGCGTAGGTTCCAAGCCCACGAGCTCCCATTCCCATCCCCCAGAGCCCAGCTCTGAGGAGCTGTCTCCTGACAGCCAGATAAGATCTGGATTTCTGAGTGGAAAATGAATCTTGGGCAGGTTTGTCCTTCTGCAGATGACCTTTAAAAGTTCCTACCTGCAGAAGAGGCAGAGAGAGGGCAGTGTCACTTCGAGTATCCAGTGTCTTGCTTGCGAGCGTGTGGCTCTTGATTATTCTTGACGTTGCCGGAGCTTTTCCTCTTGCTGCTGTTACATCCAGCCCAGCTGTCGAGCAGACTCTGGCTCCATCCTGCTGCCAGCTCCAGAGCCACTCGGAGCAGGTTTCTCTGAGGGCACAAACACTAGGTCGCAGAGGAACAGCTTCTAGAGAGGAGGTAGGAGGCATTTGCTCATCCTCAGCAGCCTGCACACGCTTTTAGTGTAGAAGGGAGGCTGTGTTGAGGACAGAGGGCAATGCCACAAGATTGGATTTGACTCCAGGATTGGTTCTGTGGAGCTCCTTGAGGCTGTGACCTTATCCCTCTGAGCCTGGTCTTCTGCTGAACACGTGAACCAGGGCCGTGGACCATCCCTGCTCACAAGGCCTGGAATATCTCTGTGCGTCCCTGGCATTTATGGAGTCTGCCTCTCCTCCAGGCCTCTGCAGAGAAGATTCGGACAACAGAGACACAGGTGCTTGTGGCCTCTGCCCAGAAGAAGCTCCTAGAAGAGCGGCTGAAGCTCATCTCCGAGCTGTGGGACGCCGGAATCAAGGTACAAACTGCTGGTGGCCAAGTGAGGAGCTGCCTACTCCTCCCTGCTGTTCCCTACGCCAGGAAGGGACCAGATCTCGTTTTACCTGGAGAGAAGGGAGTTGTGGAGTAGCAGCAAATTCACTTGCTGCCAACAACCTGGCTCTTCTCTGCATCCTGAATGGGATGTTCCCTAGGAAGGGTTGGATGCAGTGGGATTATCCCCCCCAGCACAGCAGGGCCCGCTCCGGCTGTTTCTTTAGCTTTGTCTTCATTCCCAAATTGGGCAATGCTCTGACCCCTGCCCCATGGCAGGAACGGTGCTGGGGTTCCAAAGAAATAGGCTGGGGCCCAGCGGTGTTGTGCTTGGGGTCTCTTCCAGGCAGAGATGCTCTACAAGAAGAACCCCAAGCTCCTGAATCAGTTGCAGTACTGCGAGGACACGGGTGTCCCCCTTGTTGCCATCGTGGGAGAGCAGGAGCTCAAGGACGGAGTTGTGAAGCTGCGGGTCGTGGCCACGAGGGAGGAGGTGAGGCTGGCGCTGCCTCAGAGCGCAGCGGGCGGCTCCTAACCAGTCAGCGCCACTCGGGCAGCCCTGGGGATGTAGTCAAAGCCTCCTTGAACTCCCAGTTCCCCCTCAGTGCAGCGGTTTGGAGTGTGGGAGGAATCTCGGTGGGCTGCCTTTGTTGTGTCCGCCTCACAGAGGATGTCACGAATCATCCGGGGTTTGTTGTGTTAGGATGAGTGGGGACAGCAGTGATCCATGCCCTGGCTGTGGCTCTCGAATCACTCGAGCAGCTCTTGGTTGTTGGGAGCCAGAGCTGCCTTTGCTGCTGGATCCCTGGGAAGGAGCAGGGGCCAGAGCGCCCCGCGCTGGGATCTCTGGAGCCTGAGAGCAGTGAATGCAGGATGAGCTGTTCCCCTGGGACCCGGCAACGTCCCAGCTCATCAGGCCCCTCACGCTCTGTTTCTGGAACTGTGCTCCTGCTGTATAGGTTGATGTTCGCAGGGAGAACCTCGCTGACGAGATCAAGACGCGAACAAGCCAGTCGTGAAGCCCTTCTGGCCCCATCTCCTCGTTCCTTGGTTCTCAGCTCACAGATTTCCTCTGTCTCCTGGCCCCAGCACTGGGGCAGCTCGCGCAGGGCTGAGGAGCCTTGGGCAGCTCTGGGAAGTTGTATTTATTCCTGTCTCCTCCCTTCCCCAACTGGAGCAGAGAGGCTGCGTCGCCTTCTACTGAACACTGGCCCAGAGCGATTTGCTCTGTGAGAGGCCCTGGCAAGGAGTCACCGCCCGTCTGTGACGGTTAAGGTGACACTTAGAGCCTGGTGCTTTGGGCCAACCCCCAGATCTTGGCTGCAGCTTCTTGTTCCTTTCGTTTTGAATAAACGTCCAGTCTTGGCTCTGGCTGGGAGTGACCTTCTGCGGAGCACCATGTGAGCTCCACTCTGAGAGACGAATAAATCTTGTCTCGCCCCGTGCTGCCTCCTCTTTTCTCCTGCTCTGGGCTGGGCCTCAGGGCTTCCTTTACCTCTTTGGACGGGGAGGTGACGGGGGAGGGTGGGTTCACTCTTCCTTAAGCAGTGCGTGTCCCCCGGCCCCCACAGCAGTGGCCTTTAAGCTGCGTGGCTGCTTTGGCCCAGGTGTTTGTGCCCCCCTGTCTGTGCCTGCTGCCCCCCCTGCCCGCCCCCCGGGGCCCCGCTCTGCTCTGCAGGACAGATGCGGCTCTAACATCCCCTTTTGCCCCTTCCCCGCTGCCCGGGGCTGGGGGGCTCGGGGCGCCCGGTCCCGCGCGGGGACTCTCGTGTCCGGGGGGGCGGTCTCGGGGGGGGAGGGGGTGGGACCCTCGGTCGCTCCCGCCCCGGGGCGGGGAGGCGGCGGCGCTGGAAGCTTCCAGGCCTGGCGAGGGCGGAGCGGCCGCGGCGACGACCGGCGATGGAGGCGGCGGTAGGTGCCCCCGGGGCGGCCCAGCGGGAACCGGGCGAGTCCGAGGCTCTGGGGCAGCCCCGCGGCCACCGCTCTTCCCTTCCACGGGCGGAGGGGTCCCTCGATGGTCCCGCCGCGCCGAGGGGGGTCTCCGTGGGGCGGTGGGAGCCCCGGAGCCGCCGGCGGCTCCACGCGGGCGGGCGCGGCCGTTGGATTTCGGCGCCGTCCGTGCCGGGCCCGGCGGGAGGCGCTGGGAGCCGCTTAGGCTGCGCGGGAGCCCACGGGGCCCCTGGTGCTCCGTGTCGGCCCCGCGGGACCCACCGTGGGGCGGCGGGACCCGCCTCCGGCAGCGCAGCCCCCTCGGGGCGGCGGGTGGCTCCGCGCCCGCGCTGCTCGGGGCCGTCGGGCCGCGCTTGGCACCTCGTGCGGCTCCCCCGACACGCCGGGAGGGGACCCGGGCCCCGACGGGGCCAGCCCCGGACCGCGGGCGGCAGCGGCTCCGGTTGCGACGGGGCGGGACGCGGAGCCGCCCTCGCTGCTCCCTCTCAGCAGAAATGACCCTCATTAGCGGCCCTATCTCGAGACAAAAGCGCTTGCTCCCCCTCCAGGAAGGGCGGACACCTTGGAGGGAAGGTTGCCTGATGGCACAAAGATACCTCAGGTTAAAATCCACTCAAATTGATAACTTTAATTCTGCTCAGTTTATAGTCTTCAGAGGCCTGAGTGGGACCTTGCAACAATTAATGAGCTAAAACATAATGTTGCCACGTAGACATGTTGCCACATAGACCCGTGGAATTCCTTCCTCCATGATCTTGTGATCCCAAAGCTGGGGAAGATTCTGGCAGGAAAGATGCTGGCCTCCTAGGGTCCTACATGGACATGGGTCATCTTGGCTCTAGCCCTTTCTTGCAGTTTTGTGGGCTATCGAGCACATGCCCGTTTCCTTGCTTCCAGAGTTCCCATAGATATCTGTAGAGGAACTGTTAGCGTCCTTGTGCTCTGCCAAAACCTCTGGAGTTGGTTCTTGGTTGGGGAGCACCCTTGGAACCCCTTAGCACGTACAGGGTGGGGAACGCACACAGATTTCCTGGTGGACCTCATCTTAAGGGCAGAGCACCCAAGCATTTGCTCCTGCATGGGCAGCTGGTGGTAGGACCTGTGGTTGCTTCCTGGGGTCGGAATGGCCCCATTTGGGAGGCTGGAAACTCTCTGCCCAGAGCTGTATGAGCATCATCTGCCTTTGCAGACCTGGCCTGAGAGCATCAACCAAGTCAATAAGACAGCCCTGCTCACATGGATGAAAGAAACTGGCATTGACCTGGTGCAGATCAATGGGCAGAGGCGATATGGAGGCCCACCGCCAGGTACGTGAAGGGCGCCCCGGCCCCGCCGTGCCCCGGGAGCTCAGCGTGGCCGAGCGATCTTGCCCGCGTACACGGTGTCACTGTCACCCCGCAGGCTGGGTGGGTGACGCCCCGCCGACGGGCTCCGAGGTGTTCATCGGGAAGCTGCCGCAGGACGTGTACGAGGACACGCTGATCCCCCTCTTCCAGAGCGTGGGGAAGCTCTATGAGTTCCGGCTCATGATGACGTTCAGCGGGCTGAACCGGGGCTTTGCCTACGCCAAGTATGGCAGCCGGCACAGTGCCAAGGTGGCCGTCAGCGCCCTCAACAACTTTGAGGTGCGGAAAGGCTGTTCCATCCTGGTGTGCAAGAGCACAGAGAAGTGTGAGCTGAGCATGGACGGCCTGGCCGCCTCGCTGAGCCGGAAGCACCTGGAAGTCCTGCTGCAGGAGGCTGCTGAGGGCATCCTCAGCGTCACCCTGTACCCCAGCCCCTTCCAGAAACGCGCCCAGCTCGCCGTGCTGAAGTACAGCTCGCACCGCGCTGCTGCCATGGCCAAGAAAAGTCTCATGGAAGGTACTGGGAAGCTTGGGTGGTGTGGGATGGAGCTGGGCCTTGGCTTCCTGATGTCTCTGGACGAGAACTGGAGCCAGCTCCAGGCTCAGATGACAGGTGACTTTAGGTGTGGGGCATCCCCGATCTTCTCCCCATGTTGCCTCTGTGGCTGGTGATCCTCCATGAGGCCGGTTCCTGGCTGATTCCTTATGTGAATCAAGCTGTGCCAGGAGCATCCAGAGGTCTTCAGTGTAACTGCCTGCTTGGAGCAGGAATGTCACCAGTGTGTGACATTCCAGTACCAGTGTGTGTCAGCTGGGGCTTGGGCCAAGTTCTGCAAATGCCCTTGGTGGAGGCATCGTCCCCCTCAGTGCTCTGCCCCACGCCTCCACCGCCCTCCTAAGGGATGAATTTCCCAAAAGTCCAATCTGAACCTCTCAAGTCCCAATTTTCATCCATGTCCTCAAGTTTCATCTACCCCAAATGAGAAGCATTTAACTCTGCTAGAGCGCAGAGTTAGACCAGCCCTTGGGTCACCCTCCCAGATGCTGGGGAGCAGGAGGGGACCCTGTAATGGGGGCTGCACCGTCTGCAGTGCCTGCAAAGGAGAGGACTAATGGCCAAGTGGCTCCTGCAGCGTGAGGTCTGTCTCGTGCAGGGAACAAGAGGATCTCTGAGGAGGACCTGAGGGTGGAGTGGCTGAAACCTGACCTGAAGCAGAAACTGCGATGCAGTGAGGGGAAGTCGTCGGCCACGTGGGTGCCCCGTGTCAAGTGTCCAGGGAGCCCCAAGGAGGTGCACGCGCCCCTGTCTCCCGTGCTGGGAAAAGCGCTGGAGCTCCTGGATGCCCTGTGCCGACGGCGGCGCCTGGGAACCCCCTTGTTCTTCACAAAGTGTGTCCAGGTGAACCGCAACGGATGGCTGCGCTTCTGGTGCCAAGTAGTGATCCCGGGGCACCCGGTGCCGCTCAGTGGGTTCACATGGGTCCAGCAGGACATGGCGGGTGCCAGCGGGCACGACAAGGCAAAGGACATGCTGGCAATGCAGGTGCTCAGCGTACTAGGTGAGTCTTCATGCAGAACCAGCCCAAGCCCCCGTGTCCTCAAGCGTGTCCTGGAGCTGTCGGGGTTTGGGGCTCTGTAGAGCAGACTGGGACCCCATCCGGGAAGGAGCCAGCCCAGTTGGCGGCTCCTTGGTGGCTCCTGCCCAGTCGGTGGCAGGGATCCCGTTTGAGGAACACTGCCAAAGCACAGCCCTGTGTGACTCCAGGAGCTGTGAGCGTGGGGTGGGCTTCAGGTTGGGTGCAGGGGGCACAAGGAGCTGGGAGGAGGCCTTGGGGCGCTGTGCTCTTGGCTCGCTGCAGAGCCACAACGATCCTGATGTTCTCTCTGTCGCAGGGCGTGAGGTGGCCTAGGCTGGCGTCACACCGAGCCCTGGGCTGAACCTGAACCGCCGGCCTGCACATCGCCCATCCACGGGAGCAGGATGGAGGCCCGCTGTGGATGTGGCCCTGTTCGAATTTGTTTGAGTTTGAGAGCTGGTTCTGGAGGACGGAGGTGCTGTCACGGTCCGCGATGGCTGCCCCGTCCCCAGCCAGCACTTGGTTCTGTTCTGTTGTTGCAGGGATTTTGTTCCGACCTGGTTTTGCTTTTCTTTAACTGATTTGTGTTGCTCTGCCGTGGTGAGGAAGCCAGACGTAGGTCCTGGGAGAAGATGGAGCTGCCTGGAGGGACCCCCTGCAGCGAGCGAAGGCCGGGAAGGCCGGGGCGGCTGCGGAGGCTGGCCCGGGATGGCGGGTGCTGTGCTGGCCGGGGCTCTGCTGGCTGCCTGGGCACCTGCCTGCTGCGAGGCTGATGTCCACGATGGGGATGGGGCTGTGCACGGGCACCGTCCTGCTCAACATGGCATGTCCTGTGAGCCGCAGAGCTGGTTTTTAACGAGGAGAGCACCTGCGGGGACGTGGGGCTGTGTGGACCCGCAGCCCGAGGAGGAAGCCGTGGGGTTGTTGGCGCTCTATGAATGTGTCCTCAGCACCAGGAGGACAGGCTGCGCGCCGGCTGCTTGGCATTAAAGTGGCCGGGATGGTGCCCGCCGTGCCGTGTTGTCTGTCGCCGTCGCTATTGCTGTGGCCCCGAGGGGCAGCCCGGCACGTGGGGCTGGAGCTCGGCGTCTGCCCAGGCCCTGCGCACAGGGTGACACCTCGTCCCCAGGCGCCGCGAAGGCTCGGGTCCACGTGGGACACGGCCTCCGAGGCACAGAGCGAACTGTGGATGTCAGGGTGGAGATGGAGCAGCGCTGGCAGCATCACCCACAGCTGGTGGGCTCTGCCAGCGCAGAACAGGCAAGAAATCAGCTCTGTGCGCCCCAGCGAGACCAGAGCCCTCCACGTGCTTTCTGGGTCGCTGGGGATGCAGCTGTGCTGTTCTTGGTTGACCCCCTTGCCATAGCTCATGTCGTGTCTCCTGACGATGCTGGGGCTCTCCATGTACTTTTAGTGCCGCCCCCGTGCCCCGTGTGGCGCTCTGTGCCCCGCGCAGCGCCCCGTCTCATCAGCCCGCTGGCTGTCCGAGGTGCGGTGGTGCCCTGTGCTGCGCACAGTGGCCCTGCCACCGAGACCTCGCACTCCCGGTGCCAGCCAGAGCCCTCCACCTGCCTTTGGGCTCTCCAAAACCTCCACGTGCTTTTCACTGCTCCCTGTTGGCCTCTTTCACTTGTCCAAGAGGAGCTCTCCAGTTTGTTTTTGGTGCCGTTGAGACCATTGATATCCCTGCCGAAAGCCGTGTGCCCCCAAAGCCCTTCCGTTGCCTGTCATTGCATCCCTGAGGCTTCTCTCAGGTGTGTCTGTTTGCTCCCCATAGACTCTTCATGCCGCCCTGGGGCCTTCCAGAGCTGTAGATGCTGCTGAGCTTCCTCCCCATGGTTTCAGTATGGGGAGAGCTGCGTGTCTTCTGCTCCCCAGGCACCTCTGCCTTTTGGCACGTGCCAGCCGGCGGGCCTCTCAAAGCCCTGGGTTTGCTTTTGCAGTGGCCCCCAGCGCTGCCTTGCAAGGTGGCACGCGCTGGTTCGCCTTTCTGAGTGCCCCCGAGCTCCATTTGGCTGCTCCATCTGGGCTCAGATCGCTTTCTGGGGCACCCTCCTCTCCCCAGCCCTAGGTTTGCCTTTTGGTGGCCCCAACCCCACGTTCCCTTTTGGAAGGGCTGAGTTCCTCTGGGCCACTTTGGCTCTGCCGCCAGGAGTGACGCCCTCCTCGGGGACCCTTTTGTGGATACCTGGGGACATGTGACTCAGGGTGGCTTCATGGCCACCAGCCTCAGGGCAGCGGGCAGAGCAGGACAGGGCCGCCCTGGCCAGCGCCTTGGTTGGTGGCTTAGCTGGGTTGGCTCTGGGATGCGCTGGGCAGGTTCGCCTGCCCCTCGCTGGAGCTCCCTGAATGGGGGTGACTGGCTGGTGGCACCACTGGGTTTGGTTACCCAAGGGTGAGAGCAACATCCCACGGGACCCAGATGGCGCCGGCCTGGTGGCGCAGAGCCTAGTCCTGTGTTAAGGCTGGAGCTGGAATTCAGGACAAGACGAAGGATGCACACAGCAAGGAAGTGCTTAGAGATGAAGTCAGGAATCCTCTACCGCCTTCGAGCAGAGATCTTGCAAGGAGTCTGTCTGCAAGGTGGTGTCCCTCCCAACCTAACCTGCTCATTCTGCTGCACCCACCTCTATCCAGCCGGGGGAGGCCCAAGAGATGCCGGAGCAAAGAGGCGGCACCATTATCGGGAGCGTGTGGAGCTGCTGGGTGCATCTGTATCCCAGGCACCAGAGTCCCACCTGGCAGGTCCATTGAGAGCTCCACATCCAGCTCCTCCCTCGGTCTTGCCTTTAACAAGACACCCAACTCTGCTCGGAGCCCGACCACTTCCCCTGGGAGCAGAACCAGAGCAGCGGGCACAAGGTACAGAGCTGCTCCCCCCGGCTTCCTGATGGAAGATCCTTCAGGAGCTGGAGTTCAAGCCTGAGAACCTCAGGTCCCACCTGAACCCAGGTGAGTGCTCAGCAACTTCTCCCTCTGTCCCAGTGTGGCCTGTGGCTACTTGCTGGAGAGCCCCTGGGAGGTTTTTGGAGGAAGGAACAACCCCCCAAACCTGATGGCCTGGGCCACTGCCTCCTACCTCAGGGCCAGTGGAAGACAGGATGACAGCCCTGGCTTGTGGGGCTGGCCACAGAGTGGTCCCAGGAGCATGAGGTCCTCCCCTTGTGCAGGAAGAGAAGGACGCTCTTGCCTTGCACAGCTCCACGTGGCCCAGGGACCGTGGGGATGTGTCCTGCCTTGCTGTAGCTCAGGCAGTTGGAAGCCAGCAGGAGCAGAGCTGAGGGCAGCCCACTCCAGCTTATAGAGCTGCCAAGTCTCTTTATTAGAACAGTCTGGGAGGAGACACATCAGTCCAGCCTGAGACCAACCCCTGGAGAGCAAGAGTGCCTATCCCCAAGTTTATTCATGGCCTGCAGCACCCATCAGTACAGATAGATCATCTCTCCAGCTTTCTCCTATGATGCATCTGCAGATAACATCAGATCTTCATCTTCTTCAAGGGGGGAGCCTGGAGGTCCAGCTGAGCAATGGTGCTGGCCGTGAAGGGGATGCGCTGGCTGATCCTCTTGCCAATGGTCTCCACCTGGAGCACCAGCCCGCAAGAGCCCATGGGTGCCAAGCTCTGAGTGTACCCCAGGCCTGGCCGTACCCCAGGCACCAAGCTTGGCCCCTTGGTGATGCGGGCACCAAGGCCATACCTGGAAGCCCAGCTGCTGTAGCCGGCCATGCAGGCTGTCCAGGATCCTCCTGCCATCAAAGATGAAGGCCGGCTTAAGCATGGCCTGGTAGATTCGCTCGTAGTCCAGCTCCTGGAACAACACACAAGGGGAGCTTCATAATGGCGAGAACTGGAACTGGTGGGACTGGAAGTTGAGCAGCAAGTGGACTAAGACTGGGGCCCCTTACTTTGAAGATGTCCCATTCGGTACAGATGACAATGGCATGGGCATTGTCACAGGCTTCATAGGGGTCTGAGGCAATGGAGACTAAGCTGAGCCCTGCAAGACAGGAACGGCCACAAGCATAGCAGGATGCTGCCTCCCGGGACACAACTACTGGGGCCTGAGAGGGCACCAGAGATCCGGGCCAGGCCTTTGGGCTGCAGAACGACCTGCAGTCCTGGCAGCCCAGGCAAGTGCTGGCCCTACCTGGCTCAGGCTCCTCCGCTGAGGCAGTGGAGCGGGACAGGTCCTGCATGATCTGCTCCTTCTTCACCTTGGGGTCATAGACGTGCAGGCGAGCACCCTCGTCCATCAGGTACTTGCTGATGTAGATGCTGGATGACTCCCTGGGCAGAGAGAGGCAGAGCTGAGCCCTGCAGGGTCAGTGGGGGTCCTGGGTGCCCACCTCATGATGATCAGTTCTTTGATGGAGCCAGGGCCCAGGGGTTGCGAGCAGCCCTTGGCTTCCCAGCCCCAGCTCCTTCCTGGACCTGACCTTCATGTTTCCTTTAAATGCTGCCTTTGGTTTTCCCCACAGGGCCCATGGCTTGACCAGCCTCTCTCCAGTCCAAGTTCAGCCATCACCAGCCCAGGGACTTGCTGGGCCAATCCCACCACCCATGGTAGCTCCAAAGGGCTCCCTATCACCAGGACATCACGGGACATAAAGTAAATCATTTTACTGCCACTCTGAGGTGGAGCTGGAGCAGGACACTCACTGCATCTGTCACTGCAGGTGGAGGAATGAGCTGGCTCAGACGGTCATTCCCGCCACTCCCAGCCCAGCTGGTACCTTGTGTCCCCCGTGTCCTTTTTGAAGGCGAAGCCCAACAGCGCAATCTTCTTGTCCGTGACAGTGTTGAAGAGGCAGCTGACGATGCGGGCGGCGAAGCGCCGCCGCTGGTACTCGTTGATCTCAATCACCTGGTGGGACGAGTTGTGGTGTGTCAGGCCAGGCGCTGAGCACCAGCCCAGGGGCCGCGGTGAGAGCCACATCCTGGAGGAGGACTCCAACCCCAGCCCTGGGAGCCTGGCCTGGCCTTACCTGCTGCCAGTACCGAGCTACTTCGGGCAAGTTGAGAGCCTCACAGAGATAGACCAGGTTGAGGACATCTTTTTGGAAACAGCTGCCCCCAAAACCTGCTCTGACAGAGCACCATGGTCAGGGAGTGCTAACCGGAGACCTTAAAGGGAAAAAGGGAAGCTCCAAACCTCCTCCTCCACCCCAGTACTGGGAAGGGCCGATGAGAAGCTGGGACAGGCCAGGGGGACACTAGGGCTGGTAAGGGACAAGTGAGCTACCAGAAGTGTCCCACCCATCTAGATAAGATGTCCCAGCCCGAATGCCAGTGCAGACTGGGGCATCTCCCTCATGCTTCCCGGGCCAGAGGAGCACAACATTCCCGGGCCCAGAACAGTGGATGCCAGGGGGCTGCAGTCGCTCCAGGGACACGGGGTGCAGGACTCACCCACACTGGCCTTGAGGAAGCGATTGCCGATGCGCTGGTCTGTGCCGATGGCGTGGGCCACTTCTTCCACATCAGCCCCTGTCACCTCGCACAGGGCGCTGATGGAGTTAATGCTGCTGATCCTCTGGGCCAGGAACGCATTGGCAGCCTGGGCAAAAGGGGACATGTGGGACGCCCGCCCGCATCAACCAGACCTGTTTGGGGACGGCAGCACGCACCAGCTTGGAGAGCTCTGAGGACCACATGTTGGTGGTGATGATGCGGGTTTTGGGCACCCAGCGCACGTAGATGCTGCTGAGGGTTTCGATTGCCCTTCGCCCTTCAGGCGTCTCATCACCACCAATGAGGACACGGTCGGGGTTCTTCAGGTCGGAGATGGCCGTTCCTTCAGCCAAAAACTCAGGGTTTGACAGGACCTGTGGGGATGAGACTACATGGGTGTGGGACGTTGCAGCCTCCCAACGCTTTTTTCTTCCAGCTCTTGCTGTTCCTGTATCTAGCAATGAGGAGGATCTCCCTGCCGAAGCCCCTTCTTCCCAGCGGCACTGGGAGTGAGGGCCCTGCCCGACCCTGCTGTACCTGGAAGGACAGGCTGGATTTAGTGTTGGCGCTGAAGATGCGCTGGATGCTCTCAGCTGCTCGCACAGGCACTGTGCTCTTTTCCACTACGATCTTGTAGCCCGTGGCTACCTGGGCGATGCGCCGGGCACAAGCCTCGATGTACTTCAGATCGGCTGCCCGTCCCTTGCCCAGCCCAAAGGTCTTGGTGGGAGTGTTCACCTGCCAGAGGAGCCAACACGTCAGGAGAGAGAAGTGGTCACAGTGGTCAGAAAGACCAAAAGAGGGGAGTCTCTCAGCGCCACCGAGCCCCGCAGAGGCACACGGCCAGCGGCAGGGCTCAGCCAAAGGCTGCCTGCCCCACTCACGGATATGAAGATGATATCGGCCTCTCTCACGGCCTTGTCGATATCAGTTGAGAAGAAGAGGTTGACGCCGCGCTGGGCCTCCACCACCTCCTGCAGGCCAGGCTGAAAAGGAGAGGGACGAGCTGGGAACAGCCAGCAGCAGCCTGAGCCAGAAGCTCCTGAGCAAGGGCAACAGCAGCTCCCCAACGGCCAGATGCATCTGGTCACCCTGCACGGACTGAAACCTGTCCGCGCGGCAGGGCCTCACCTCAAAGATGGGCAGCTGCTCCGAGTTCCAGGCCTGAATGCGCTCCTCGTCGACGTCCACCACGGTGACGGTGATTTCAGGGCACATCTGGGCGATGACGCTGCACGTGGGCCCCCCCACGTAGCCAGCCCCGATGCAGCAAATGCGCTTGACCGGCTCCATGGGCGCCGGGCTGCCGGAGCCGGCGGAGCAGGACCCGGGGGCACCTGGAGGGAGCGCCCGGGAGGCAGCGCACGGATTAGCCTGGGCAGCCGCTCTGGCAGGGCCGACATCCCACTCGGGACAACACCCCAGGCAGGCGGCAGAGGTGGGTGCCAGCGGGGCGCCCGGCTCCAAGGGGCTGCATGCCAATGCAGTTGGCCGATTCATGGGATCCAAACGCAGGATGGAGGCAGATTCCCGGGATCCGAATGCAGGACAGAGGCCAGCGGGTGCCGCCGGCCAGCGGTCCCCTCGCGTGCCGCGGTAGAGCTGCCGCTGCCTCCCGGCTGCAGCCACTGCCCGCAGCACCGGCTGCCGCTGCCTCCCGGCTGCAGCCACTGCCCGCAGCACCGGCTGCCGCACGCCCGGCCCAGCCCGGCCGGCGCTGCCAGCCCTGCACCGAGTCTGCGGGGCCTCGGCTTGGGGCAACCTCCGCCCCGCGGGGGCACGTAACACTTAATGAGTGACACTAATGAGCGAGTGAAATTAGTGAGTGACATTTGCCGTGGCTGCCCCGGGACGGGGGCACCATCACCCCACATGTCTCACGGGGGACACCGTCACCCCGCGCGCCTCACGGCGGGCACCGTGGAGCAGGCCGCGGCCCAGGGCCGTGCAGGCCCGTCGGGACGGGCTGGCTCCGGGCGCCCGGACCCCCTGTCCCACCGCGGCGCCCGCAGCCCCGCGCCCTCCCCCGTCCCTCTCCCCGCACCCCCGCGCCCTCCCCCGTCCCTCTCCCCGCATCCCCGCTCCGCCATGAGGCACCCAGCCATGTCAGCCCGGCGGGCTGCTGCCCCCGCCCCCTCCACGAGGGCGGCCCCGCCACCATCAGGACCCCCCCTTCCCTCCCCAGCTCCGCCGCCCCGGTCCCGGTCCCGGGCGCCCCCCTCCCAGCCCCCATTAACCCCTGGCGCTCCCCGCCCCCTCCCGCTCTTTAAGGGCCCGCCCCCGCCCCGGCGTGAGCGGCGGCACCGCCAGCCAATGAGAGCGCGACCCCGCCGCGCCGTGGCCCAATGAGGCGCGCGCGCCGAGCGCTGCCGCTCGCGTCCTACCTCGGCGCGGCCGCCGCGTCCCGCGCGGGCCCTGCGCGGCACGGGGCGGAGCCCGCGGGAGTAGGAAGGCTTTTATTGGCCAGCGCCGGCCCCGCCCGCGCCCCGCCCCGCTTGGCCCCGCCCCCCGCCTCAGTCGCTGTCGCCGCTGTCGCCCGGCGCCGCCTCGGGCTCGTCGCGCAGGTCGGCGAAGAAGTCCTGGCCGCCGCCCGCCGCCTTGCTGCTCAGCGCGCGCAGCGGCCCGCCACGCTTCTTCTTCTTGCGGTAGTCGTCCACCACGATGGCGGCCAGCGCCGACGTGTCCCAGAACTTGACCTTCTGGTCGTGGGCGCAGCTGGCCAGGAGCCGCCCGCCGGGCGCCACCGCCAGCTGCTCGATGGGCTCCCCCGTGTGCTGCCCCACGCAGCCCAGCACCCGGTTCGGCAGCACGTTCACCGCCCTGGGGAGGGCGGGAGAGCCGAGCTGTGGCAGCCACAACCAGCCCATCCCCACGGCGTGAGGCCCATCCCATCCCCGAGCCTCCCCTCAACCCGGCCCGGCCCCAGGGCTCTCTGACCTGATGACTCCATCGAGTGAGCCCGTGCACACGATGTTCTCTGTGATGGGCACCATGCAGTCGACGGACTCGGCCCTCAGAGCGAAGCGGTCGCTCGTGGCCCCAAAGCCATCCCAGTTGAAGAGGTAGATTGTCCCCTCACTGGAGCCACAAGCCACTTTCTTCCCTCTCTGAGCACAGTAGAGGAAGATAGGATGGAGGCCAGGGACATGGAGATCAAGTCTGCTGCCCGCAGGACGCAGGACCTACCTTGAGGAGCACAACAGACGTCAGGTCCCCATTCTGCGGCTCCGAGAGCAGCTCAAAGCGCCGCCTCTTTATGTTGAAGACGCCCAAGGTGCCATCGCCACTGCAGGAGACAAGACGGGAGCATCGTGGATGGCGCGGGCTGACAGCGGGAGCCCTGGCCAAGCAGGAAGGGCCCACACGAGCGCACGAAGCCCCCGTGGGCCCCATGGTACCTGGCCGTGAGCAGAAGCTTCCCGTTAGCATCCACCGCCATGGCGCTGATGTACTCCTCGTGCTCCTGGGCCTCCAGGACCGTGGCTCCCTTCCGCAGGTCCCACACCTTGAGCGCGCCGCCCTCGTCCCCCGTGGCAAAGACGTGCTCGGTGACGGGCAGCACGCAGTTGAGCGCCGAGCTGTGGGGAGCAGCGCGGTCGCGCGGGGGCACCGGGACGAGCCCTCCTGCCCCGGGCGTGCGGGGACCCGTGGTGCCCACGCACCTGTGAGCCTTGGAGAAGCGCGTCTCCAGGCAGCCCGCCTCCACCGTCAGCACCTGGATGGACTTGTCCTTGGACACCGTGAAGAGCTCTGGGGGGTCGGCGCCGGTGTCACCCGCGCGCCCCGCGGCTCCCGCGGGCGCCCCGTGGTGCCGCGCACTCACTGTGCCCGTCCAGCGAGAAGGCCACGTCCCTGCACGACTTCAGGTGGTGGCCCGAGGACCAGAGCTCCCGGGTGTCCCCTGGCGCGCACGAGTACGAGAAGCTGCGCGCCGCGGG